TACCAAACGTTTCTTTGCACTACTTTTTATTATTTTTTTTTACACGGCTGCCATCATCGTTGCCATGAACCATGTTCTTTCACGGGTCTTGGCAACCAAAATGGCGGCAGTGGGGAAAAAAAACAACATCGCGTGGACTGTCCAAATTTACCAAGAAAAGAAAAACAAGGAAATTGAGGATCATTGTTTAGAGAGTATTGGATTAATTCCATATGGTGATATTGTGCCGAAAAGTTTAATTAATGTGTTTTCCTTTCTCACTCTCTCTGTTGTGTTGGTACAGGAAATCAGTGCCGTGATGGATACATCTGATGTCCCTTTTTGTTTATCTTCGTTGTGTATGGCACTGTGGAGCTGCAGCACCGCTATATTCACTCAAGATTTGTTAATAACTTACACTATCTTTCTCAAATACTTGTAAATATTTAATGCTTTGATAAATAAAGCACAACATCAGTGGTCAGTGTCTTTCAACTCGTTATGGAAAAAAAAAAAAACTACACAATTGCCTGCATGGAACTGTGTACTTCATTATTAGCATTTCTAGCGTTGTTACCAAGCAAGCCCTAATTTCAGAGGGAAAGGCTTGCTCACAGTGGAAAGAAGCACTGTGGCTTCCCGCAGTTCCAAATCGTCTAGACTTCATGGGAGGTCAATGTTTACGTTTAACACCCGTGTGTGTGTGTGTGTTGTATCCTACCTAGACATTATGAATTCAATAAACTGGAGACGATCATTGTAGCATTCTATTTCAAAATGTATTCCTTCAAAAATAAAATAAAGGTAAAAGAATTAATTTTTAAATGGCCGTATCAAACCTTGGACTGGAACAATTTATATGTGAGTTAAAAATAAATTCCTTTTCAAGCTCTTATTATTACATTTATAATTTCTTTACTTCTTTTGTTTGTTTGTTTTTTTTTTTGTTTTTTTTTTGGTATGTTTTTCGTTTTGCACAATGCTAAAATAATACCTAAATATTTTTTGCAGCAGCATCCCCTTTTTTTTTTTTTTTTTTTTTTGGTATGTTTTTCCTTTTGCACAATGCTAAAATAATACCTAAATATTTTGTGCAGCAGCATCCCCCCTCCCCCCCCCCCTTTTTCAATTAAATTACGGGCCGCCACTGCTGCACATGCACAAAAAAGGGATTAAACACACACACACACACAAACACCTACTTATGGTGACACGTGGTGTTAAATCAACGTTCAATGCTTGCTTTTTTTTAATGTGAACAAACCTACTTACCTCACAGTGCATGCAAGCTCGGCATTATGTTGGCTTCTTACTCTCGTGCCAGTATTTCACCAGCAAACTGTCGTACGGTTGTTTAAAAAAAAAATCTAGACAATGTTCAATGAACATTGTTTGATGGCAGGAGCAATTCAATAACTATTTGGAGATAACTAGTAACTCTATTCATTTATGAACGAGACTAATACTTTACAAGTAAGGATTAAATTTCTTTTTCTTTTTTTTAAATATTGGAAAGAAGATTTACCTTAAAAATAAGAACAAAGGACACACGAAGCACTTTCCAACGAAATATTTATTAATATTTATTATGCAGACCATAAAAATTTAATATTTTATGCATTGAAAATAATTTTTAGAAGTTATTTTGAAGCGCTTAATTTTGTAATAAATAAACTAACTTAAATAGTTTTTTGTTGTTGTTGTTTTTAATGATAATTTTTTCCGTTCTGAGGGCCGTTTTGTGAATCCTGATGTTTTAGAAATTACATAATTTTTATGGAAGATAACTATATTATTTTAGGCTGCGGCTATTCGGACCCGGGTCCAAGAAGTGAGAGTTTGGGTTTATTAAAAATATTTAAAAATTATTGTAGTGTTTGTAAGACAAAATTTGGTATCGAGTGAAAGATAATTGAATCGACTATATGTTTGTAAACTTACTTCTTAAGCTTAACTAAAATAAACAACCACAAATGACATCCGAATAGAATAGCATTTAGTCAATATGGAACCGGAAACGCATCGCCGCTATTCGGACCCGGGTCTCTTTAGACTCAATGCTATTCGGATGTCATTTGTGGTAGTTCATTTTAGTTAAACTGAAGATTCAAGTTTACAAACATATAGTCCATTCAATTATCTTTCGTTTAAAATTTGGTCTTAAAACAAAAAAAAAAAAAAAAAAAAAAAATATATATATATATATATATGTATATTAATTTTATTCCCATCCTCTAAATTCTCGGACCCGGGTCCGAATAGCCACTTCGAATATTTAATTGTATTCCTTATCGTTTTAATTCTGCTCTGCATTAGAGTTTTGTTGAGAGCCCTGTGACAACATAATACTATCGGAGACAGCGTAATGTTGAAGAAGGTCTCGTTGAGGTGTGCCACCAATCTCCTGACTGCCACGTTGTTGGCATCCACTGGTCTGTTACTTCTGAACTCCCATCATGTATCATGCAAGTATCTCTCCTGCTTGTTTATTTATTTTTCTTTTAAAAAAAAATTTAAAAAATTGTTAACCGTGTTTATGAGGTAGAGGCACACATTTAAAAGTGGACGATCGTGCTGTCGAAGTAAAAAGAGGGGGGGGGGGTGGCGTCCCCAGAGGCGTAGCGAGAGTGTTTGGCGCCCGGGGACAAGATTCGTACCCGGGGACAAGATCTTTTTTAAAGCGCTCCTTTTTTCTTTTTTTCAACTCTCAAACCCATTATTTTTACCAATAATATTATATCAAAGGACATTTTGGCGCCCCTAACTAGCTTGCGCCCGGGGAAATCTGCCCCCCCCCGCCACCCCCTCGCTACGCCTCTGAGCGTCCCCTTTCTTTGCAGCGCGATTTCAAGACAGTGAAAAGACTATTCACAGACAAAATTAGTGACAAGAGCTTTTGAAAGCTTTTGGAGCATTACCTCTGCTAACGCTGGGAGAAAATTCATCGCTGATGGGCAACCTAAAAATAATCGTTTATCTTTTTTTAAAAACAAATGTGCCTTTGAGAGTTTTTCAGGGATTATTTAAATATTTGCACGGGAAAAAAACTACAAGCAATGAACCTAAAGCTGAGTCAGAATTTTTTCATCAAAATGATGGAATAAATTATTTAAAAAAAAATTTAAAATAAAGAAAAGGCGATAGGATGTTAATTGTAATTAAGCAATGCCGACCCAAAAATTATAAGTCCATACAAATATGTGATATATTTAGTTTCGGAAATGAAACAACCAATGAAATTCAATTATTTTGCAAACTATTTTGCAGTTGATTTTTTTTTTCCAAGCAATAATACATGTTTTTTTTTTATCAAGATAGTTAACCGCCAATACATCGATGACTCATTGGTAAAAAAGTTTCGTGTTCGAGATCAGCTTAATGGCACATCTTCCATGGAGCCACACATCACTACACACTTACATCGGAAGCGCCTACAAGGTTTGAGAATAAATTGTGTATCACTTTGAAAAACAACTTTTTTAAAAACTGTCTAAACGCGCCCCCCCCCCAATTAAAAACTACTCAAACATTTAAATAATTTATAATTTTATATTTTATTCTTCCATGGAGCCACACATCACTACACAATTACATCGGAAGCGCCTACAAGGTTTGAAAATAAATTGTGTATCACTTTGAAAAACAACTTTTTTAAAAACTGTCTAAACGCGCCCCCCCCCCCAATTAAATACTACTCAAACAATTAAATAATTTATAATTTTGTATTTTAACTCAGAAACTGCAAACCCTGGCCCTTAAACCCTTCCTTCGACTTCGGTTACACCACTGCCCTAGTTACACCACTGACCTAGTTACAACACTGCCCTAGATACAACACTGCCCTAGTTACAACACTGGCCTACTTAGAACACTGCCCTAGTTACAACACTGCCCTAGTTACAACACTGGCCTAGTTACAACACTGCCCTAGTTACAACACTGCCCTAGCTACAACACTGCCCGAATCATAATATTACGTGTTGAATTTTTATTCTGAAAAATGTATAAACAATTGTATGGCATTTCAGTAATTGAGAAACAATACCCATTTAACGTTAATAATTTTATTTAAGGCTCACCGTAAGTTGAATTTTTTTTTTTTGAAATCGTCCATCTATTTAATATTTTATTATTTTTTAAAGGAATCTCCTAAGTACAATAGTTCTACTTAAAGCATAATGGACGGGTGAATTTTGAAAAAGTCGTCTAAATGGTATAACCCTTGGAAGATTTTGGACGGGTGATTTTTGAAAAAGCTGTCTTTAGTGGCTTAACCCTTTGTGGACGAAGCTGTTAATGAGACAAGACTGATTAATTTTATTTTTTTTAAACCCTTGAGAAAAAAAATGCACGCGGACCATCCATGAATAACATCACGCCATTTCGGCCGATTTCTTTCCCCATAACAACACAACACAATCACCCACCCACAAACGTGATTGTAACAAATGTGTAACCTGTTTTAGATCATCTTATCGATTTTTACGGACCGGCCGTAAAAATTTGACCTAAAGTTAATTTGTCCGTAACTGTCAATGACAATTTAAGGATATTCGTTTTTTTTTTCTTTTTTCTTTTTTTTTAAAGGGATATTCCATTTTGTGTGAGTTTAGTTCTTACTTGCTTAAAATTGGATGGTTCTCAATCAGGAGAAGTTGAATAACACTGGTACGTCAGCTCTTCACCTTTATAACGTTGTATGACAGGCCCAAGCATGAAACCTACAGACATACATCTTAAAAACATTTTTTTTTAACAAATGATTTTCCCCATTAGTAAAAAGAAAAAAGCACTTAGAGTTATATGTATATTGAAAACATTTGTTTAAAAAAAAATACATTTTAAACGGTAGTATTATAATAAAATTTGTTAACATTTTTTTTTTAAACCACCGAACACACAGAGGCTAGAAAAAAGACATCAGCTCAACAAAAGCTCATTATACTTACGTACATGCGCAGTGGATCAAGTTTCGCAGGGGCTCTGTTCGGTGCGCATCCGGAAGTCTTCTATGTCTACGAGCCGCTTCATCATCTAAAATACGCCAGCGAGACAAAGAAGGTTCTCAGGTCGTATTCAAAGAAAACGATTTCAAAGTAAGTGTCCCCCCCCCCCTTTTTTTTTATTACTTACAGAATTTAACTTTATAGTTTTAATCATTGGGAGGGGAGGCGGTGACCCACCACGATAGTTTGATGACCCACCACGATAGTTTGATGACACACCACGATAGTTTGATGACCCACCACGATAGTTTGATGACCCACCACTGAAGGTTCTCAGGTCGTATTCAAAGAAAACGATTTCAAAGTAAGTGTCCCCCCCCCCTTTTTTTTTATTACTTACAGAATTTAACTTTATAGTTTTAATCATTGGGAGGGGAGGCGGGCGGGGTGGGGGGTAGTAAATGGACAACTTATAAAATATTTTCGATTATTGCAATAGGTGACAGAATTTCAAGCTAAGCCCCACGTCACACGATCAGACAATTCAATTGGACTCTTTTGTGTGTGTTTTGTTAAAGTGTATTTTAAGCTAAATTAAGGACTGCAAAACTTAGCCAGTTTCGAGGTCCATCTGGCGGGGGCATAAGCACCACCAATGCGAACATGTACTTATTATTTTTTAAAAAGTAGTTTGCTATATGGGACACAGCTTCAGAGAGTTGCTTTCATTACTCTGGAAAAGGGGGGGTGGTACAGTCGAGGGCGTCCTACTTAAGAGCTATTCCGAAAGGCATGACATATCAAACATAAACTTTTTAATTTAATTTAATTTAATTATTTTTTAAAACATTTTTCCTTGTCAATCTAAATTAGCTTGTCGTGACAATTATCACGTCATGATTATACGGTTGAATTAAGGCAACCGTGGGAACTTTCAGCCATTTTGATTTATTTTGACTTCTAATGTCCGATTTACTTTGGGTAAATTTAAAAAAAAAAAAATGGCTATTTCACGAATTTTCTTACAATTTATTTTCTGTTAATTGATTCACAGAGAGCGTGCCAGCAATTGCATTTCTAGTCAGTGGTTTCCCTTGGAATGCATGCTCTATTTCAAAATTGATAGCCCTATCTGCTTATGATCTTATTTGATGCATTTGCGTAATATCTTAATTTTAAGTTATGATTTTATTTCACAAAATTCAGCATCACTGAATCGGAAGGAGCGTATCGAAACAAAGGCGAGGAGATAATGCGAAACTTCCTGAACTGTGACTTTGAAAGCCTTGACGAGGGATCTCTGTCTGTGAGTACAACGCTTGTGTGGGTTGAAGTCTGTGTGTGAGTACACCATTTGTGTGTGGGTTGAAGTCTGTGTGTGAGTACAGCGTTTGTGCGTTGGCGGAAGTCTGTGTGTGAGTACACCGTTTGTATGGGCTAAAGTGTGTATGATTAAATCGATTGTGTGGGTCGGTGCCAGAGTGAGTACAACGTTTGTGTAGTGGAAGATGGTCTAATTAAAGTTATTGGGACATTGACATTGACTACCTCAAGCGAGGCTTGAACACATGCCCCCTGCTTGGGAATTATCGTTGAACGATCCGATTATATTAGCTTGGTTGATACATTTGAAACGGAGTGCTTCCAAAGCTTTTCCAATCTAAATAAACTCTCTCACCTATAAGTGTTCGTCATTCGAATGCGAAGATGACCAAGACTTTGACTCGAGTAGTAGCCTAGAGTAGAGCTGTATTTTCGTTTTAAAGTGAAGTAGAGTTGCTTCATTCGAAAGCCCTACTCTCTCATTCGTCCCTGCCATACTTGTTCCAATGGCAAAACTTAGTCAAGACGACTGGAAATAGACCAGGATGCAGTAGATGGTCAGCAGTGTGTCTTGTGTCTCACTGTTCTCTCTTGCGTTCCACATCGGAATTTTCATTCTGTCACTGTCATACCGCCTGCGGGACTCAACCTCTCGGTTTAAATTTCAAAGTCTGCCTTCACTTAGGTGAGTTGACATCCAAATTTAACGGGTCCCATCCACCCGGGGTGCTGATGTTCTTTTTGCCTGTCGAGGTTTTTTTGTTTTTGTTTTTTTTTTTGGTGATTGAAATCTCACTACTAATAATGTGTTAGCTCAAACACGATCATTTACTGCGCTAAGTTGTCGCGTTCTTAATGTTGACACGAATGCCTAACACCGAATAACAACGTATCGCTTTAAATGTTTCAGCAGCCTCACTTAATCCGGAGCCCAACCACGTTCAATTACTCCAGCTGTCTGAAGATGCCTTGGATCCAGAACGACACGTACCAGGACGGTGAGAGAGATGATAGCATTAAAAAAAAAACATTGTACGTAATGTTTTAGACAAAAGCTGCCGAAATGGAGCAGCATCGTGTGCTATGTTCATGTTAAATGGGAGTATACATTTCGCATTACATCAACTTTAGAAAGAAAATAATTGAACAACGACTAAATCCAAAGTTATTCCTTTAAAAAAAATTAAGAAACCAGCAATGGGGGAAGAGGGGGGGGGGCTGAAAATTTAACAAAACAGACATATAAGTAACCCACTTTATATGAATCCCAATTAGTGCCCCCCACCCACCCTCAAGGCTCGCAACCGCACTTTTTTACACGCCCCTGAACTATCTTAATATTCTAATGCCCCACCCGCTTTCACAGCTTAGATTAATTTCACCAACTATTTCAGGAAAACGAATTCAAATATTACGCACCAAACGCGCCAGCGAGAGTCAGTGTCATCATGTTTTCTCCAGCCTTTCCTTGAAAAAAAATGGTGATATTTTGGTGTTGAAGGTGGGGCTGAACATTTTGCAGAATGTGGTATCATCGACAACCAGTCTATGCGCCAAGTTTCAGCTCGATATGCTGACGGCAAGTGGCTCAATGAGCCGTACGAGGACTTAGCCAACCCACCACCCCATCCACCAAGCCAGACACAAACGAAAGTGAAGTCAATATAAAGGATTTTGTTTTTAAAGTTAATTCTTTACTATTGCGTACTTTACATATATATATATATATATATATATAATAGCGAGTACCCGGCATGTTTTGCGATGCCACTCAAAGACAGAAAGTGTTCGTGTTTTAATTACGTTTTGAAGTCCCTTTTATTTTTCCATACCATACATTTTGTTTTTCCGTCTGATACGAACACTACTAAATAAGAAGTATTTTCGACAAGATGTCCTCGTGAGAAGCATGGATTTTAAAAATGTAGTCCCCGCACTTGTAGCGATTAATCCACCCATGCAGTAGCTCTGTTTGTGATTATATTTTATATAGGTCATAGTATACAAAAATAAAATTTCGGGCACCCGGCCCCAAACTAAATTTGTAAAATTATTGTATTAATTTAGAAACCTACTCATCATGTCACAAACAAACTGAATGTCACTGTTTGTTTTTGATTCAATTCCATACACCCATACAATAGCTCTGTTTCAAACGGCCCAAAACGGAATATTGTCAAATGGTTACACTAATTCAGAAACCTATGCGGGCTTGCGTACAGCAACTCACCAAAGGTTTATCGAAGTCGTATGAATGATATTGAAGCGCTCACAGGACAGAGAGACAGACAGACACACAGACACACAGACAGACAGACAAAGACACACACACAAACACACTCACACATACACACCCACTCACTCACTCACCCACACACACACATCCACCCACACCCACACACACCCACACACACATACACATACACACATACACATACACACAATATACACACACACATACACACACATAAACCAATTTACACACACATATACACACATACACAATACACACACATACATACACACATACATACACACATACACACACATACATACACACATACACACACATACAGACATACACACACATACATACACATACATATATACATACATACATACATACATACATACATACATACATACATACATACATACATACATACATACATACATACATACATACATACATACATACATACATACATACATATATACATATATACATATATACATACATACATACATACATACATACATACATACATACATACATACATACATACATACATACATACATACATACATACATATATACATATATACATATATACATACATACATACATACATACATACATACATACATACATTCATACATACATATACTTTTATATATTTAGATTCAAGTCCGTAAAAATATGTTACACAATAAATATGTTAATCCACAAACATGTTAGTCCATTTAAATGTTACGGAATTAAACTGTTCGTCAGTAAATGCTGTTTTATTGATTTAGTTACCTTGACGATGACCTACCCCCCACCCCCCAAACACACACACTTGTTTGCTGATGCATGTAAAATCACAGTGCTGTAGGTGCTGTACGCTCAGGCGCCTTGACACAACCGCACCACACTGTAGCTCAATTGTTCTATAAGCACCACACTGTAGCTCAATTGTTCTATAAGCACCACACTGTAGCTCAATTGTTCTATAAGCAGCACACTGTAGCTCAATTGTTCTATAAGCACCACACTGTAGCTCAATTGTTCTATAAGCACCACACTGTAGCTCAATTGTTCTATAAGCACCACACTGTAGTTCAATTGTTCTATAAGCACCACACTGTAGCTCAATTGTTCTATAAGCACCACACTGTAGCTCAATTGTTCTATAAGCACCACACTGTAGCTCAATTGTTCTATAAGCACCACACTGTAGCTCAATTGTTCTATAAGCACCACACTGTAGCTCAATTGTTCTATAAGCACCACACTGTAGCTCAATTGTTCTATAAGCACCACACTGTAGCTCAATTGTTCTATAAGCACCACACTCTAGCTCAATTGTTCTATAAGCACCACACTGTAGCTCAATTGTTCTATAAGCACCACACTGTAGCTCAATTGTTCTATAAGCACCACACTGTAGCTCAATTGTTCTATACGCACAACACTGTAGTTCAATTGTTCTATAAGCACCACACTGTAGTTCAATTGTTCTATAAGCACCACACTGTAGCTCAATTGTTCTATACACACCACACTGTAGCTCAATTGTTCTATACGCACCACACTGTAGCTCAATTGTTCTATAAGAACCACACTGTAGTTCAATTGTTCTATAAGCACCACACTGTAGTTCAATTTTTCTATAAGCACCACACTGTAGTTCAATTGTTCTATACGCACCACACTGTAGCTCAATTGTTCTATAAGCACCACACTGTAGCTCAATTGTTCTATAAGCACCACACTGTAGCTCAATTGTTCTATAAGCACCACACTGTAGCTCAATTGTTCTATAAGCACCACACTGTAGCTCAATTGTTCTATAAGCACCACACTGTAGCTCAATTGTTCTATAAGCACCACACTGTAGCTCAATTGTTCTATAAGCACCACACTGTAGCTCAATTGTTCTATAAGCACCACACTGTAGCTCAATTGTTCTATAAGCACCACACTGTAGCTCAATTGTTCTATAAGCACCACACTGTAGCTCAATTGTTCTATAAGCACCACACTGTAGCTCAATTGTTCTATAAGCACCACACTGTAGCTCAATTGTTCTATAAGCACCACACTGTAGCTCAATTGTTCTATAAGCACCACACTGTAGCTCAATTGTTCTATAAGCACCACACTGTAGCTCAATTGTTCTATAAGCACCACACTGTAGCTCAATTGTTCTATAAGCACCACACTGTAGCTCAATTGTTCTATAAGCACCACACTGTAGCTCAATTGTTCTATAAGCACCACACTGTAGCTCAATTGTTCTATAAGCACCACACTGTAGCTCAATTGTTCTATAAGCACCACACTGTAGCTCAATTGTTCTATAAGCACCACACTGTAGCTCAATTGTTCTATAAGCACCACACTGTAGCTCAATTGTTCTATAAGCACCACACTGTAGCTCAATTGTTCTATAAGCACCACACTGTAGCTCAATTGTTCTATAAGCACCACACTGTAGCTCAATTGTTCTATAAGCACCACACTGTAGCTCAATTGTTCTATAAGCACCACACTGTAGCTCAATTGTTCTATAAGCACCACACTGTAGCTCAATTGTTCTATAAGCACCACACTGTAGCTCAATTGTTCTATAAGCACCACACTGTAGCTCAATTGTTCTATAAGCACCACACTGTAGCTCAATTGTTCTATACGCACCACACTGTAGTTCAATTGTTCTATAAGCACCACACTGTAGCTGAATTGTTCTATACGCACCACACTGTAGTTCAATTGATCTATATGCACCACACTGTAGCTCAATTGTTCTATAAGCACCACACTGTAGCTCAATTGTTCTATAAGCACCACACTGTAGCTCAATTGTTCTATAAGCACCACACTGTAGCTCAATTGTTCTATAAGCACCACACTGTAGCTCAATTGTTCTATAAGCACCACACTCTAGCTCAATTGATCTATATGCACCACACTGTAGCTCAATTGTTCTATACGCACCACACTGTAGCTCAATTGTTCTATAAGCACCACACTGTAGCTCAATTGTTCTATACGCACCACACTGTAGCTCAATTGTTCTATACGCACCACACTGTAGCTCAATTGATCTATATGCACCACACTTTAGCTCAATTGTTCTATACGCACCACACTGTAGCTCAATTGTTCTATAAGCACCACGCTTTAGCTCAATTGTTCTATACGCACCACACTGTAGCTCAATTGTTCTATACGCACCACACTGTAGTTCAATTGTTCTGTACGCACCACACTGTAGTTCAATTGTTCTATACGCACCACACTGTAATTGTTCTATATACGCCGATGTGAGCTGTAAATGCCGATCCCAAAGCTTTCTCACCTGTAACACATTTTTACATAAAACCCCAGGTGACTGTCGGTGAAAGCCAAAGATTAGTGCCAAGCCTAGCGATAAATCTCTTCGTGGATTAAATTGTTGTATTAATTAACAGACTGATCCGTTTAGGCTGATGTTGTGTTGCATTTACAATCTGTACGATGTTATGTTGTTGATTTGCCAACTTTGTTTTCGTAATGATGTTTTGCCCCATTGGGGTCATGAGTCGTCTATAAGAATGTTCCATTCATCTCTTTCAAGTTGCGTCCAGGCATGGGCGCCCGCAGGTAGGGGCAAGGGGGGCACTTGCCCCCGCCCCTGGATTGATTGGATAAAAAAGTTTTAGACAAAAATAGACAAAAATGTATTAAAGTAAAGAGAAAATAAAGAGAAAGTAACTAAGCTGATGTCCTGTCCGTTCTTTCACCATACAAATATGCTACAGTAAATTAAAACTACATTAAAACTTTACTAAAAAAATGTTGCCCCCCCTGAAAAGTTAATCGATTTTTTTGCCCCCCCCCCTTAGAAAGTTTTCTGCAGGCGCCCATAAGTCCAGGTGTATCCCTTACTTTGTGTGGCTTCCTCCAGCTCGCGTCTCCATGTATTCTTCGACCTTCTTCTCTTTCTTTTTTCAATTTGGATTCATGTTAAGGGTTGTCTGGTGATGCTATCTGGGGGTTTGCGAAGAGTGTGCCCTATCCACCTCCATCTTTTCCTTACGATGCCTTCAGCAATGGACACCTGGTATTTCCAGTAAGTCTTTGTTGGTGATCTAGTTTGACCATTTGATGTTCAGGATCTTTCTAAGGCGAGTTTAAATGAAGGTTTGTACTTTCTGCGTGATGCTCGCTGTTGCTCTCCAAGTTTGTTTACGCTAAGTTGAAATGACCAAGATCGATAGATCAGAAACACAAGGGACAAGTTAAGAATCAACTGAGATTAGCGTGGAAGTGGCACTAGCCCCAGCAAAGCTGCAGCTTCTCTCGGTTCACAAATCTCACTTCACTTGGTTCAAAAGTCTCTCTGCTCTTGGTTCACAAAACTCACGGCTCTTGGTTAACAAATCTCTCTGCTCTTGGTTCACAAATCTCACTTCACCTGGTTCAAAAGTCTCTCTGCTCTTGGTTCACAAAACTCACGGCTCTTGGTTAACAAATCTCTCTGCTCTTGGTTCACAAATTTCAATGCTCTTGGTTCACAATTCTCACTGCTCTTTTGGTTCACAAGTCTCACTGCTCTCGGTTCACAAGTCTCTCTGCTCTTGGTTCACAAGTCTCACTGCTCTTGGTTCACAAGACTCACTGCTCTTGGTTCACAAGACTCACTGCTCTTGGTTCATAAGTCTCACTGCTCTTGGTTCACAAGTCTCACTCCTCTCGCTTCACGAATCTCATTGCTCTTGGTTTACAAAACCCAATACTCATTGTTCACAGTTCTTACTGCTCTTGAATATCACCGCAAAGAAATACCATCAAATTTAATGAAGTCTCGCTCTAGTGATTTTAGAGAAATCACTCCACGTATGTTGTATTATCATTGTATAGTATTTTCACAGTCGCTTCCCCTTTGTTATTGTTGAGTGAAACCCGTGTTTGTTGTGCTCAGATGTCAGATACCATGTCGTGTTGTATTTAGATATCAGATATCATTTTGTGTTGTACTCAGATGACAGATGCCATGTTGTGAAGTACTCAGATGCCAGATGGCATGTTGTGTTGTACTTAGATGTAAGAAGTCAGTTTGTGTTGTACACAGATGTAAGAGGCCATGCTGTGTTGTACACAGATGTCAGAGGCCATGTTGTGTTGTACACAGATGTCAGAGGCCATGTATTGTTTACACAGATGCCAGAGGCTATGGTGTGTTGTACTTGATGTAAGAAGTCATTTTGTGATGTACACAGATGTCAGAAGCCATGGTGTGTTGTAATCAGATTCATGAGCCATGTTGTGTTGTCCTCAGATGCCAGAGGCCATGGTGTGTTGTACACAGATGTCAGAAGCCATGTTGTGTTGTTTGTGAGTTGTCAGTAAAAAGGTCTAAGCTTTAAGCCGTGTTGTCATCTGACTGTGTGTTAGTGACAGTATTACTGAATACAATAACTCATCCCAAAGCGGCAAAGTCCGTACACGTTGTCTCGATAAAACGCTTCTATCTGCTCGTGTCGGAAACAGCAGCGTTCTGCTTGTCACATTTATAAATTAGAAGAAACAAATCTGCAATTTAACATCAAGCATTAATGAAATACCATTAAAAATAATTAAATATCATTTTTCTTTAATCGACAGAAATGATTAAAAGTATACCCGGATGTATCAGTGACTTAAAAGAGAGTTGTCGGCCCGCCAAAGTCACAGTCTTAAAAGTCATCGAGGCCCAAATGTCGCAGGCGAAATCACTGATGCGTTCGGACCCCAAGGTGAAGGTCATACACCTCATCCGCGACCCGAGGGGCGTCCTGAGTTCGAGGCGCTATTTTCGGAAGTTCAACGACGAAGACCCGGAGAGCTTTTCAAGGGACATTTGTAACAGCGTCCTGGAGGACATTGGGATCTCGAGGAGTCTGTCTCAGACATTCCCGGGGCGTGTCTTGACCGTCCGTTACGAGGACATCGCTAAAGAACCAATACGCGTCACCAAACAGCTGTACCGATTCGTCGGGCTGGAGATGACGCCGTCCTTGGAAAAACGGATATGGGAGATGACGTACGCGGGACTACCCGACGACTGCAACATTTGTCCCGTGCGGAGCAACAGCACCGAGACAGCCAACGGCTGGAGGAAGGGGCTCAGCTTTCGAACTGTCGCCAAGATACAGGAGGAATGCAAGACGCTGTTCGCGGTGATGGGGTACAGAAGTTTCACGACGGAGGATGAACTGAAAAGCCTTCACATTCCCACAACGTTCGACGAGTATGATTCCAGATTAAGGAAAGCGGATGCAAGAGATTAAAGTTACAGTGAAGACTATTTTACAGGCGAACGTTGAAGTGAAAACAAGGTTATAAGTCAAAGTTTTATTGATGACAATGTTAAAGGCTGAAGATTGTAGTGATGACGATTTCAGAGATGAAACTTATAGTGAAAACAATTTTAGAGCTGGAATTTGTAGTGAAGACAAAGTTAGGGGTGAAAGTTGTAATGAAGACAAGGCAAGACAAGTTAAAATGTAAAGTTTAAGAAATGGAAAATTTATTCGGGACTTGTGGGCTTTTTTCGGTTTCAAAGAGAGCGACTTTGTAAAAGAAAAACTAATCCTTTTAAGCTGCAATTATTTTTTATGGCTGGAATGCCAATCACTTCACAAAGAGAATAATGTGAGTCCTTGAGTTTCCCCGAAACGCTATGTGATAACATGATGGCGGTCAAGGACTTTGTGTGTGACATGCTTTACGAAAAAACATTTTTTTTCTATACCAGATTGATAAGTTATTGTCCGGTGCCACTGTCCTGATGTGTGTGTGTGTGTGTGTGGAACACCTGTATGCCGCGACCAATCTTATGTTCTACGACAATGTGGCATTTTAAAAATCATTGACGTGAAGCGAATTTATGATGTCATCATTTGATTGACGGAAAAAACTACCAAAAAAACCCATCAAAAACATCAAGAAAAATTTAAAAAACAAGACATGAAGCGAAACAATGTCAGAGAGGAAACAACATCGCAACACTCAAAAGCTTTTCTTTTTAAGCAAAAAATTTTTGTGTTACAGCCAGTAATACTTAATATAACAACGGGCCACAAAGCCCGAAACGTTGTGTCCATAAAACACTTCTCATCGCTCGTTTCTTAAACGGGAGAGCTCTGGCGGTCAAATTAATAGAGAAAAACAGGTAGAAAAGTATAACGTGTCAGGTTGTTTCTGTAAATGCATGCGACCTGAATGTCCCAACAGATGTGCGGTTGGACCAATGTTGCCTCAGGCTAAACATGCAAGTGAGCAACGACCCATGCTCCATTCTAGACCTGAATGTCCCAACAGATGTGCGGTTGGACCAATGTTGCCTCAGGCTAAACATGCAAGTGAGCAACGGCCCATGCTCCATTCAAAAAGAAATGAAATAATCACGTAAATGGACAATTTAAAAAAAAAATCAAAGTGTAATTTAGATATAAATCTATTAATATTAGGTTTCGCTTTCAATACAGTTTAAGTATGCTAATTTATGAATTAAATTAACAGTCATTGCACATGATGTTCGATATTAATTTTTTAAATTTTTAAATAATAAATTCCTTATGATTCAGTTAAAACGTCCCCCACCTTGCCCCGCACCCCAGCTTTCACCATTTATGGCCCCCATGCCTTTGTTACCACCTGAATCTGGCTCCAACCACCCCCCACCCTCCACACCACCGATTTCAGAAAAGCCTTGACACAGTTCACACAGTTCATTAAAACCTTTACGCTGTTGACATATTTAATGATGTGTAAAAAAAATTTTTTATTTCCACCCTGGGGGTGTTCGTATTTGAAATTATCGTTAATCCTCCATAAGCTGTTGCCTCCGCCTGAGGTGGCCTTGATTAACTCGCCACTGATTATGATTGTGATCACGTATAAAATGCCCTATTTTAATAACTTTTTTAAATACCCAGAAGATAAAGGAAAAAATAACTTTTTACATTTTTAACCGTTGAATTTTCATGAAATGAGAAGCCACCTAAACTTAAAAAATGTTACTGTTACTTCCTTCTACAGATAAAAATTTTATCATTTTGTTTCGGGCACAGCGAGCACGGAGACTCTTCAACGCTGAAACCTTGTGTTATCGGCTTACATTACGCACGACAAATCGATAAAATCTGCACGATTCTAAGTAGACTACACCAAAGGTTCAAAGTTAGCATAAAACGAGGACTAAAGTGGTCACAGTCGATTTCGACTGACGAACGACACATTCTCTTGCGATTTTGTCTGAGGGAGAACATTAGACAACCCATAAAAACAAAGTTTGATCTGTAAAGTATTAATAAAATATAATATCGAGCAATGTGGGGGGTGGGGATGAAAATTTGACAAAACATGCTTGCAAGTAAAGCAATGTGTAAAAATCGAAAATTAGTGCTCCAACCCCCCCCCCCCCCCCTGGGGGGGGGGAGAAAAAATTTCAAAAACACGCTTGCAAAAAAAACAATATGTAAAAAACACAAAAATGGGCCCCCCCCCCCCCCCCCCCCAAACCCAGGGTTCACAACCGCACATTTCGTTACGCCCTAAAATATATTAATATTCTAATGATCCACCGGCTTTGAAATCGCTGATGTATTTCACCAACTTTTACAGAAAAAAAAAATATATTACGTACCAAACGCACTTGCAATTTACAAAAAATATATTAAAAAAATCAAAAGCGCAGTTATCGGGAATTTGATTTGGTGAAATGAGTGATATCAGATTTCCACCATCTTGCCATTGAGAAACGGTAAATTTTGATATTTTTTTAAGGCTGGACGTTGGACTGAATATTTTGATAGTAAGCGTTGTTATCAGCAAAACGTCTTGGTGCAAAGTTTTAGCTCGATACGCAAGTGGGTCCAACAGCCGTCCGAAGATTTTTGGCCAGCCACGAACAAAAGAGAAGATAGCATATTGGATTTAAATAAACATAGCACCTCTTTCGTATTACATTATGTTCCTTGGAGTATCTCTCATACTTTGGATATACTGAACATATTAGCTGATTATCTTTGGAAATACTGGTGATGCAATTGGAATTGAATGTGAAAACAAAAGCGAAGGGATATATTGACATTATCCTTGTTTAAAATCAGTATTTTTAACAGCTTCTCAAGTTTGTGTATTATAAACTCAACAATTGTCCTGTTTAATCTTTTTTTTTTTAATGATTTGAAAAGTTTGTAACATTCAAATGACACAGGCTCCTCGGTCGCTATGTGCGCCATCGAGGCCAATACTGTTGGTGCATGAGATAGCCCCGGGTGCCTGATAAAGACTAAGGCGGGATCAAATTGTCATGTTATTTACATCAAAATCTAGTGCCTCGATTGCCCGTACGTCAGCCCATGGATTACACCACACGCCAGGCGACGGCCACAGGTGGCCGGCCATCTGTCAGCAAACAATGGTGTAACCATCTTAAGATTTATTTTCCTTCTAAATATCGGCACATCTGGCTCTAATAGTTATCTAATACTGAAGTAGTTCGAGTCATTTACGCGCGGATCATGTCAGATTCGTAGATACATGGTGTTAGAATATATTGAATTATAATAGAGATGGAGCCGGGCCAAGGGTGTGACAAGACACCGCACCAACCGTGGGCACCTTTTAAAAGAGGGCGTTAAAATCAGCAAAACCGGAACATTTGAATTTCTAAAAAAAAAAAATTATAATAATTCTTATATGCCTATCAGAGTAAAATATTACATCTGTGATCATCTACGGGCAAGAAGATTTTATTTTTTTTTTCCATTCCAAATCTTAATGTAATGGGAATGTGTGTTTGTTTTTTCCACATAAGCTCCTAAGTGAATTTATGGCACTACAATTTGTTATTTTTCTAATTAATACTTTTTAGTATTGTAAAAAAAAAATGTCCTAAGGCACCAACCAGCCTTACCGAAACTTCAGCCAAATGCTTTGACTGGCGGTGATTTCGCACGGAATATCATAAAACACCCGCATCTACGCGATTCCAACAGCTATTAACGCCATCCGATTTACGGGCCCCAAATAATCGCACTTTAGATCATAAAATAAATCAAAACTCAATTAAATTAAATACATAAATATTGGTTTTTCAGATGTTAAGACTTCACAATAATTACACTTAGAATGCAGCGCAATATGCCTTACATTTTCACCCCTGTAACGCCGGGTCGCGTCTTCTAGTGTTTATGTAACACTTCCCGGTCTTGTCGTTCTATCTCTCACCGCAAACTTCATCTGTTTTAAAAATCTCTTGATATCTTTGTGATAACTCAAGAGAAGTAACAAAAATTACCATCTGACAGATAAGGCCTAAGATCCCTCTCTGTCTCTGCGTGGTGTGGAAGTTGAAACCATGAAGTACTCATAAACGTTCCTCTAAAAGACTACGAGAAACACTTTAACGGGAACAGTGTGTTTATGTGTATTGAGGTGGGGGGGGGAGAATAAACACGTTTTCTGTATGTAAGCATTGGAGTCTACGTTTGCTAGACATAAAAATAGGAAAAGCGGTGGAGAGGGAAGAGGTAAGGGGTACGAAATAGGCCGCTCGCTGTCGTAAAACATAAATGTAGACAGCTATTTATGGAAAGGACCTACCGCAAAATTTAACGCAATATTTAAAACTGCAAAACCTCCAAAATTAATTTGTTAAGAATTACATGAATTTTCAATGAGAATGGCTCGCCCTAGTATCGTCAGCATTTACAACTCACCCCAGCCCCCCCATACCCCCATACCCCTCCCCCCCATAAACAAAGTCAAATAATTCTAGTTATTAGTTACCTGTAAAAACGGCGAAAGCTATCCATCATGGTCAACCTGTCCATCGAGTGGGCGAATGGAGAGACTCGTTGCTGGGATTCGAACCTTATTTCCCCTGACTATCACTGTTTGTATCATGCAAGTTGCCCAAGCTTGCAAACTATCTTTTTAAGCCACTTTTTTTTGTGTGTAGCCATCTGCGGGTCAAATATATGAGGTTCGAAAGTTACTTTGACAGCTGTGTGGCCATTGTGACTGAGGGTCCAATATATGAGGTTCGAAAGTTACTTTGACAGCTGTGTGGCCATTGTGACTGAGGGTCCAATGTATGAGGTTCGAATGTTACGTTGACAGCTGTGTGGCCATTGTGACTGAGGGTCCAATATATGAGGTTCGAATGTTACTTTGAGAGCTGTGTGGCCATTGTGACTGAGGGTCCAATGTATGAGGTTCGAATGTTACTTTGAGAGCTGTGTGGCCATTGTGACTGAGGGTCCAATGTATGAGGTTCGAATGTTACGTTGACAGCTGTGTGGCCA